GGGAGCCCGATGTGGGACTCGATCCCAGGACCCTGGGATCATGACCTGAGCCGAAGGCAGACGCTTAACCATCTGAGCCACCCAGGCGCCCTGTGTTTTTTTTTTCTTAACTGTGAACTTCCCTGTGTGGCTTCACCGCAGGTTCCTTTTTTGGATGCTAATTCTCCAGGGTCACAGAGATCTCCTCTGGGAGGAGATTCTGCTAGATAGAAGGTGGGGACCAGCTCACAAAGGGCCCTGAATGCTGAGCCTCTGCTGGGAGCCAGAAATCTTGTCCTGATAAAAAACCTCCAGGCTCTTACTAACAGAGCTCCCTTCTGTCTAAGGCCAACTTTGTTCCTGCAGTTAGAAAATGCTACCGACCAACTTCACCTCCTTTAGAAATGACAAAACCCTCTTTAATCTCCTTGCTTTTCCTTTTATTGGTGAAGCACAGATTCAGCAATGGGAGACTGTGTTTTGGGTGCTGAGGTTCTATTTTAGGCCCTGTGCCATTGCGTACCCATATAGAGGGCTATTTTAATTCCTTTCAGTCATGTGGAAAATAATCACTTAAATGATGCTCTTTCTAGCACTTTACCTTTGAGAGGTGACCTCAGCTGATGACAGTGCATACATCCGCAGTAATCCGCGGGCCAAATGCTGGGATCAAAGCTACGTCTGGGCTCCCTGAGAGCCTGAAGACGGTGGGGTCTTCGGAAGTGAAAGGTCAAGTGACTTTGGCGCTTCTTTGATCCAGCAGGAAGACTGGCTCGTATTTCTGGAGGGTTTTCTTGTTTTCAACATGATTTCAAGCAGGCAGTTAGGTCAGACTATCATCAACCTAGATCTTGACCCCCCCCCCACCCCGAGGCTGATATTTTGAAGGTGTTCATCTAGGTCAGGTCACATGTTGTGTATTTTATTGCCTTGTTTCTTGGCCAATACAATTTTTTAGAAGATATGCTGCCAGATATATAAGCCACTTACCTTCCAGCTGAGCCCCTGATTCAGCTGCCTTCCCTCCCACCCCACCCCCACCGTGTCCTTTCTCCAGGGAATTGGGTAGCAGGATTATCTGGTTCTCTAATTCCCTGCCTACAGGACCAGCCTGGCTAAGCTGAGTTTCCTTGCCCACAGAGCTGCCCCAGGTGGTAGAAGCAAAGGAGAGGGGCTCTGGGCTTGGCTGGTTCTTAAGTAAGAATCCCCAGGGGGAACCAGTTGCTAGCACTTTGGCACCAAGTGGGACCAAGGGATCCTCTTATCAGTACCTCTCCCAGATTATGCATTTCCAGTTTATGCACATGTATGGTTGCAGAATGGAAATCCTTATCTTCTTAGAGTGCTGGACTTTGAGGACTGAAGTTTATGTCAAACTGACATAACCTTTGGGTAGTCACACAGGGCAGGAACCCTCCCCGGTCTTTGTTATTCTAGTAGGTGGCCTGGCCTTTTAGCTTGTGTAGAGGGAGAAGGATTTGTAGGCTAATAGCCTTCACATTTGTAGTTCTTCGCTGATCATGCGAAACAATTAAGGTTTGGTTGCTTGCTCACGTGGGCCATTTTAACTAACATAGAGTCCAGGACTAGCCAGTAGAACTCTTTGTGATGATGAAAATGAGCTCTATGTCCGCTGCCCAGTCTGGTAGCCACTAGCTACCTGTGGCTCTTGACCATGTGAAATGTGGCTAGTGCAGCTGAGGAACTGAATTTTACATTTTATTTAATTTCAGTCAATTTAAACAGTCACATGTGGCTAGCAGCTACTGTATTGGACAATGGGGATAGACCATTTCTATTTGAGGATTTTATATTATATTTTGTAATTAAGTATAGAAAACCTTATACACGCACATAGTAGCAATTCAAAAGATACAAAAGGATATCAAGTGACAAGTCTCCCTCATCTCCTTCTCTGGTCCCCCTGTTTCCCTTCCCAGTGGCAGCCCTGATAACCAGTTTCTTGTGGTTATCTTATGGTCTGGAAACATTTCATACATATATAAACATATTTCTTTCTCTTTCTCCATTCCTCCCCTCTTTCTCTCCTCTCTTCCTTTAATGCAAGAGGTGTTATTCTATCCACTCTCTACTGTTCCTGGCGTTTTGTTTGTTTGTTTTAGAGGCAGGGAGGGGTAGGGGGAGAGAATCTTAAGCAGTCCCCACACCAGCACCGAGCTCAGAACCGGCAGTGGAGCTCACGACCTTGAGATCATGACCTGAGCCGAAATCAAGAGTTGGACGCTCAACCGACTGAGCCACCCAGGTGGCCCCGTTCCTTGGTTTTTTGAGTTAACAACAATCCTTGGAGGTCATTATTTTATGGCTTACATTTAATTTTATTTGTATTTAATGGCTGTACATAATAGTCCTTTATAAAGTTATACCATCATTTACTTAACAGACCCCCTTAGAAGTGAGCATATGAGTTAATTCCAGTCTTTTGCCATGATAAATACTACTGTAACAAATAACTTGCGCAAGCATGATTTCATGTTAGGTATAAACACAAACTCTTAGAAGTGAGACGGTCAAGTCGAAGGAATGTATGGTTTACATTGCCTCAGATTGTTACCAGATTGCCATCCATAGATAGAACTTGTTGATGGGACTGGAAGTTGGTGCCTGTTCCAGCCTCAGAGACAGTCTGTTAGTGAACTTTTTGTTCTTTGCCAGTGGGATAAATGAAGATTGCCGTTACCTTGTAGGTTTAATCTGCATTTCTCTTATTATAAATGAGATTGAGGGTCTTTTTATATGTTCAAGAGTCACTTCTTTTCTGGTAAATCGGCTACTCAGATCATTTGCCCATTTTTCTATTGGATTTCGTTGTTGTTTTAATTGATTTGTAGGAACCTTGTATACATTCAGGAAATTAGTCTCTTGCCTCTGATTTATATTGACAAATCTTAATCTTGTTCGTGGTCTCTCTTTCCCTGTGGACATTTGAAAATATTTTATGTGGTGAATGTATTAATCTTTTTGTTATGGCCTCTGCGTCTTGTATCTGACTTAGACTTTCCCCGTGGAGGTATTTTCAAACAGGTCTCGTGTTTTCTTCTAGAACCTCCATGGTCCCATGGTTCCTCACTGACTCCTCTGAAATAGTTCAGGGGTTTTGTGGATTTTACCTTCCCTTGCCTGGCTCCTCATTCTCCCGCCGTGATGCCTTTGCCAGGGCTTTCTGTCCAGCCCTGGTTTTGAGCTGTGGGGTGCCCTCTCACTGGCCACTCGGGGAGAAACATGATCCTCATTTGTCCACTGGTTGCCACCTTGTTCTCATTCCTTTCTCTCTTTTTTTTTTAAATTAAAAAAAAATTTTTAAGTAATCTCTACACCCAACATGGGGCTCAAACTCACAACCCTGAGATCAAGAGTTGCATGCTCTACTCGCTGAGCCAGCCAGGCGCCCCTTCTCATTCCTTTCTGAGTACACCTTTGAGGTAAACCCTAATTCCGAATGGAGAAGGTGAGATTCAATCTTTATTTGGGGGTCTTAGTTACATTTGTAGGTCCCAGAGTCCCCTTTTACCTCAGTATGCCTGACAACCCCTACCCCCCCCTTGCCTTTCTCCCCACCCCAGCCCCGGAATCACCAGGTCCCTCCCTGTTTTGTCCTCTCACTGCAGATCTCTTCTATGACCTTCTGCGTGCCTTCCTAGGCCCTGCTCATTATCTGACATACCCTGCCCTTTGTGCCAGTTGCTTAATTGGGAGGGGTGACTTGAACAAGAGGTGGGCAATAAAGCCGCAGGATGTTTGTACTCTGTCTGTGCGGAGGAGGAGAGCACTCTGCCTCCAGCGAAGCCAGCAATTTTGTGGCTGTTAGCACTTCATTCATATTCTCTAATATGATTTAATGCTTTGTCATTTTCTTTCTTGTGATTCCAGAATCTCATTTTCAGCTTCTGCCAGAGCCAGTAGCAGTTGGGAAAGAAGGCTGTGTTCTTTGAAGACTGAGTATGGATTTCTAACACTGTTGATTACAAAAAAAAACAAAAAACAAGCAGCCCTCAATGAGCTTGGGGCGCCTCTGTAAGCTTCCCCCAAACCGCTCTCTGGGCCAATTTGTGGTGGGTGATTTCTCTGGTTCAGTTGGTTTGGTGGGGAAGGGTGTGGGCACCTGAAGGTCAGCTACATGCCCCAAAGCCCCCTATGGACAGTTCTCAAAGCCTGTGCCAGGAGAAAGACTCTGAGTTTGAAGGGAGTCTGGAAGATCTGAGCCTCTGGGAAGGAAACAGGATGCTTTCCTGGGGAGTGTGATGCTTGAATTAGCCCAGAGGCGGAGAGGAGTTCATCTAACATCCAGGACATGGTTGTGCTCCACAGAAGGGAACAGCCTGAGGAGAGACAGAGCGTGAGGCTGTGCAGGGTGGCGTGGGGACAGGAGGTGGTCATTCAGGGTGCAGGCAGAGATGTGGGAGTTGGTCCAGGAAGCTGGGTTGGGATCGTATTGAGTGGTTCGAGTTCACATTCGACCAGGGCAGCCTAATGTATGGGTGGGAGTTGTGAAGGTTCCCCTGGCAGCTAGTGTTCGGGCTGAGACAGAATGGGAGCAAGAAGAAATGAGGACCTGAACCCAGTGTGGTGCCTGAGGTAGCTGTGGTCTGACTCACACTTGCTGGGAATTTGTCTTCCTTCCCGACATTCCTAGGATGTGTTGGACAACATCAGCCTCAGGAATTGGTGGCATGAGGCTTTCAGGGGTATAAACCCCCTAAAACTGTGCTCCTCTTCCTGTGTGGCCCTACCATGCACTTAAAATGTGACAGGTGTGACTGAAGCACTGAACTCTGAATTTTATTTAATTACATTTAAATAGTCATGTATTGAACGGCCTCGTTTGTCTAGACTCACACAAGTTGGCTCCAGCGCTGGTGCCTCTCCACTTTTGCATAAGAGGAGTGGGAAGAGTGAAAGATGTATCGGCCTCTGGGAGGCTAGATTGATGGGGAGACTGTCGGCAGAAATGAATGAGAAGGGGGAGAGATGTGTCTGGGACATGGTAAGACTGTTGAGTCATGCAGGTGGTCAGGCAGGCTTTTAGAAAAGTCTGGAAGGGGGTTCTGGCCAGGCATGTTGAGTTCTGAATTTCCTGAAGGAGGGAATGGTGGAGGATGTAGGGATGGAGAGCTTTCCAAGGAAGACTGTGAGGAGAGCATGATAGGAAGATCAGGAGAGAGAGGAGAGCATCATGGGAATATCGAGGGGGAGAGAGTGAGGAGCGCATGATGGGAATATCGGTGGGGAGAGAGAGGATAGCATCTCAGGATCCAGGTCAGGTGTGCTCGTTTCAACAGCAGGGCTGTCAGGGGCACTTGGCTGGCTCAGTCAGTAGAGTGTGTAACTCTTGATCTCAGGGTCATAGTTCAAGCCCCACACTGGGCATGGGGCTTTAAAAAAATTTTTAATTAATTAATTAAAAAAATGAAATTAATTAAAAAATTAATCACTAATAGGGCTGTCAGAGCTGCAAAGCACAGAGGAGGAAAGGGCTCAGCCAGACTGAGGTGGGAACAATAAGACAAGGAGGGCATAGAGTTGGGCACCTCGTGGCGGTAATCCTGGGGGCCATGCCACACTCAGTGATGACTGAGCAAGCTTAACTGCTTATTTGGAAATTTCAGTGTGATTTTCTTCCATGATGGAGATGATATATATGATAAGAAGTTAGAACTGCACATTTCTTGGGGTGCCTGGCTGACTCAGTCAGAAGAGCATTTGACTGTTGATTGTGCGGTCATGAGTTCGAGCCCTACGTTGGGTGTAGAGATTACAAATTAAAAAAAAAAAAGAACTTACCATTTCTTGAATTATTGTCTCATCAAGTCCTGGGGCTTCCACATACGAGAATCTTACCATCTTTGTATTTTTTCTAGCTGTTAATCGTTAGTGATAGTTTTGAGGGATTGGTTTATCTTGATAAGAACCTAGTTTCAAAAAGCAGTGTTAGGTGGATGCAACAATATTTATAATATTTAAGGGCTTGGATATTATACTCAGATTTTAGGGACTTAGCGTTTTCCTTGTGGAAAACATTGTAGGAAGAGTTTTCGGCATCCAGTAGTTATTCCATAGATGGAGGTTGTGGCTCTCACATCTTTGGCTGTGGTGGTGGTGGTCCTGGTTATTACCGTTGCTACCATTGTTATAGTAATCATTATTTTGAAGAGACCAGGACTTTAGTCTGTCAGATATGATGGTATATGCGTAAGATATCTAGGGAAAGGCAAGATTCTTTGAAAATGTTTCACATTCTATTTTTTCTTAGAATTTTGCATTATACCCTAAGATGAAGGTATTGGAACTCAGGATTCCCAGTTTTCCAAAATCAGTGAGTACATGGAAAGACCGTCATGACTCATTATGCCTTGCTACCCCCCCCAGACTAGGGACTTGGAGATGCCATGTGTATGTGGATCCACTGGTGTATCCTCTGTCCAATTAGTCTTCACCCCTGTATTCAGAGACAATGGCCCCAAATGCACAGCTTGGACGCTAACGGGAGGAGGCTGGGTGGCAGGCTCCAATCTGGGATGTGAGAGTGTGTTATTCTCCCTGGTGTCCTAACAGCCAGCTCTCTTCTTCCTAAAGTAGTTTCTCTTCACACTGTGCCACGAGGCCACGGAGATCGTTGTCCTTAACCCTGGGATGCCTCGCTTTTACTCAGCAGAGACGTAAAGTGAGTGCATTTTTTCCCCCTTTTTTTCAATCTTTTTCAATAAGTGGGGCAATATACATTGTCAAGCCACAGATATTTGCCTGGTACTGTTTTAGGTTGTGGGAACAGGCAACAAGGAATAAGATTCTCGAGGGGTGCAAACCAGATCCTCCTCTTTAATTGCCTGGCATCATTTCAGAAACATTTTAAGTCTTCAGAGTAGGAAAAGACCAAAGAGGTGATTTGGATGAATGTTCTTATTTAATGGGTTGAGGAAACCAAGCCCTCGCAGCTGGTATGTGGAAGAGCCTGGTAGGAGAGAACCAGCTGGAATGTTCCACCCCCAGCCCGGTTGGGGCCCAGCCCTCACTCATGTGGATCCACCCCAGGGGCAGCCGTTGGTGTTTCACAGTTATGATTGTCGCAAGACCGATACTTAGCCTAGTTCGCATTGTTCTTGAAATTGACTCCTTTTAACTTAATTTTAAAAATTAATTTGCATCCCTACTATAAATTGGAAATCTCTGTCTACTTGCTAGATGGGATGCTGCCCCATTCATGAATGGCTTAATAAAGACAATTAGATCTTCAAAAAAGAAAGGAAGGAAGGAAGAAACTGTAAAAATCAACACAAAGAAACCATGTTATTAAGTAGCTAGGGACTGTTGCTCACGGGAGGGGAAGGCTTAGAGAGGTATCTAATAACACCGTACTGAGAGTTCCGTTGACCGAGGCAGAACGGACAAAGAACCGGAAGCCGACTTCTCAGTATGGTTGTCAGTGTGATGTTACCCGGTTAGTGCTGTGGAGCCCTGAGCATTATTTAGCATCCTCCTGCTCCCTAACATCATCTTGCAGGGCATCGGCTGTATGGGCCCCGTCCTTTGGCCAACTCCATTTTCCACCCTGTAGTTGATTTTCCATCATTGGTGGCTCCAGGTTCACAAGGGTTCCGTTTTCCTGTCTCCAACCTCTCCTCTGGGTACACAGAGTATCCTATAAACAAACCTCAGCGGGGTAGGAGAGCTGCCTTTTTATTTTTATTTTATTTTTTTGAAAGAGAGTTTTATTTATTTATTTTATTTTATTTGACAGAGAGAGACAGCGAGAGGGAATACAAGCAGGGGGAGAGGGAGAAGCAGGCTTCCCGCGGAGCAGGGAGCCCGACGCGGGGCTCGATCCCAGGACCCTGGGATCATGACTTGAGCCGAAGGCAGACGCTCAACGACTGAGCCACCCAGGCGCCCTGAGAGCTGCCTTTTTATTTATTTTTTTTATTTTTTTAAAAGATTTTATTTATTTATTTGAGAGAGAGAGTACATGAGAGGGGGGAGGGTCAGAGGGAGAAGCAGGCTCCTTGCTGAGCAGGGAGCCCGATGCGGGACTCGATCCCGGGACTCCAGGATCATGACCCGAGCCGAAGGCAGTCGCCCAACCAACTGAGCCACCCAGGCGCCCCGAGAGCTGCCTTTTTAAAGGAAAGCTGGGGCAACTCCTTTTTCACATGAAGGATTATGGGACGCCTGGGTGGCTTAGTCGGTTAAGCGTCTGCCTTCAGCTTGGGTCATGATCCCAGGGTCCTGGGATCGAGCCCCGCATTGGGCTCCCTGCTCAGCGGGTAGTCTGCTTCTCCCTCTACCTGCTGCTTCCCCTGCTTATGCTGTCTTCTCTCTCTGACAAATAAATAAATAAATAAATAAAATCTTTAAAACGAAATCTTTAAATAAGTAAAATGAAGGATGATGCAGAGGTAGGGATAGTCACCTACTCCTTATGCATACAGAAAACTCAGGGGGCGCCTGGCTGGCTCACTCAGTAGAGCGTGCACCTCTTGATCTCGAGGTTCTGAGTTTGAGCCCCACGTTGGATGTAGAGATTACTTAAAAATAAAATCTTAAAGAAGACAAAGGAAAACTCAGAAAGCATTAGTTTCTTCATCCATGGCCGGTCTACATTTGACCTGGTCAGGGAAAGTGTGCAGGCTTCTCTGTCATACGTCCCAACCTTGCTAAATCAATCATGCTGTGCAAAAGCTCCTCATCGAAGACTTCATTCTGCAATGAAACGGAGGGTGGCTCCAGATGAAACCTTCCCCCAGACCGATTGGGACATCCATAGCAGGTGTTGACAAAGCCGTTACATCTCTTTTTGATGATCATACCTTCACCTTGGGGCCACCATCTCCAGTGTCAGGGCCTGTGATGTCATGGCCTGTGATGTCCTGGCCTTGGGCATAAAATGCTCTAGTTCCTCGTCCAAAGCAGCATCATGTAATTAACTTCCTGCAGCTCAGACATGGGAATTCATGGTAACCCTCAGCAGTTTTTAAGGACTTTGTGTAATGTGGAACAGTCCTCTTGAAGCTGACAGGTCCTATTCTCGTTGACTCTTTTGTGACCCACAGTGTTCAAACAGATTTGTAAAATTCTCTTCACTCTGAAAGTAATTTGCTTACCCCTTGACCCTGAGGCTAGTGATTCCTCCAGGGAGTTTTGTAATTACTGAAAGAAAAAACCCTCTTACAACATCATTGGGAATAGTTGGGGTTGTCCCTAAAAAAAAGAAGATTGAGCCCATCTTGTAACTTTGCTTTTTGTCCTGGGCTCCTCTTGGCACTGAGAAAGAATATAGACTATTGGCCCTACCAGCAAGGAGCTTTGTTAAGCCAGCAATGGCTTAAGTGCGCCGGAACGTGCTTATGGTGACTGAGATATTGAGAGGACAGTTAAATCAGAAGCACACAGAGTGCTTCTGCCCCTGAGAAGACTTTCTTTTTTTTTTTTTTTATTCTTATGTTAATCCCCATACATTACATCATTAGTTCTAGATGAAGTGTTCCATGATTCATTGTTCGTGCACAACACCCAGTGCTCC